AAATAAAGTTTTCGCCATTAAAAAAAAAAAAAAAAAGGTGAGGGGGCGGGGAAGAGGAGGGCTATTTAGTCGTCCAAAGTTTGGCCAATGAGTGAAGGGGCTAAAGCAGGAAGACGGCCGGGCCTTCGTAGGTGACTGGTTAGACTAGAAGCCTGTCTGGACTGTACCAACGTACGTGAGGGTAGGGGGGAGGTTGGCAAGTACCCGAAGAGAGATGCTTGCTTTTGAGTTCTTCCAGTACATACGTGTAACTACTTTTACTTCCGAAGATTCCTTCTTGGATACAGCGGGAAGGGAAAGGAGGACACAGGAAAAAGGGAACACTCGCCCGGCCACTTCCCCATTTCCTACTCCTGCGCAGTACGCCAACCCCCTTTTCCCAGGCGTCCGCGGGACCCGACGGCCTTGCGCGCGCGTCCTCGTGGCCGTGCGTGCGTAAGGCGCTGTGCTCCTTGCAGCCAATCAGACCGCGAGGTCGCTGCGGTCGCCGCGGGTCGCGTGCACGGCCTAGAGAGGGGCGGGGGCGGGGCCTTGGGTGAATGGGAGAGTGAGCGGGGGGGGGCGGGCGCGGCGGCTAGAGCCGCATGAATGAGAGAAACGTGCCCGGCTCGAGACGTCGCGCGCGCCCGGGACAGGGAGCCAATGGGAGCGCTGGGAGGGCTCGAGACCCGGCACTGAGGGCAGCGGCCGCGCGCCGGCGCGGAGACGAGCGTCACCGAGCGGGAGCGCGCGCAGCAGGGCGGGCGTGGAGCGTGCGGGGGCCGCGCGCTGCCTCCCAGAGGCCGGACGGCACTGCCGAGAGGCGGCCGCGATAACGACGGCAGCGGTGACGGGAACCGTGCCGGGGGGTGAGTACCAGGGACACCGGCCCCTGCGGAACCGGAAGTGCGGGGCCAGTGAGGTGGGAGGGGAGAGTGACCTCTAGGGAAGGGGGAACCTGGAAGGGGGAGGTGGTTGGAGGCCCCACTGCTCCTCCGGGCCGGGTCATCCAACTGCGGCGGGACCCATGGGCCCCGGAAACGGACGACGAGCAGAGGCCGGGGATCCACGGCCTCTCGGGCTCAGAACGGGTTAGTGCCGGGCCGCTCGGTTCTACCTCGGGACCCCGGTCCCCCTTGGCGCCGGGTGCCCAGCCGCCGCCCCTTCCGCCCCCGGCCCTGCGCTGCTGGGCTCTGCAGTCTCCCGCAGCCCCAGTGGGCCCTGCCCAGTGAATTCTGTCTTCTCCGTCTCAGTCAGCTCTGCCCCATACAGTGACTCTCTCCCAGCTCCCCTTCTGAGTGGGGACCGGGTGCTGTTCCCCTTTTGCCTCCCTCCGTTTCAGGTCCCTCGCTCCACTCTGCTGATACTTATTTTGGCTCAAGCCTCACCCAGTTTACCTGTTCTCTCTCGTCTGTGTGCTTCCTCACTCCCACCAGCCGGTGCTTCATGCTTTTAGCACTTTGTACTTAATACAAGCGGGGCTCGGATGTATTTGCTAATATTTTACCAATAGGAATCTATCTCTTTGTGGGACAGGAAGCGGAAGATGTTTTATTGGCTGAATGAAAATACTTAAATGGGAAGTAAGAAAGTGACCCAAAGTTATGGAAGGCATAAGATCAGATATGTGTTATATTGTAATGCAGACCCTTTTTCTGTCTTGGATTTTTTACTTCCTGATTAATGTTTTCTTGTCTAGGCTGATCTTCTATCCGAATTTCTGTCCTTTTATCCCAGTATCCCTCTGTACTGTTTCAAATCTCTTCAGAATGCTCACTATCACCCATTCTTCAACATCCATCTAATGCTTACAAGAATTATATATATATACCCGTGTACCTTGCTACCTTGGTATATAACGATAACACCCATGTTAAACTTCTGTTTGACTCTCTTGCCATGTGGATTATTCCATGAGACCTTGAGTACTTTGTATTCAGATTTACTAGGTTGTACTGTTTGTTTCATCTCTTTGTTTCAACAAACAATACTTGTGTTTTACTGGTACTGTTCATATCCATTCACCCTTTAAGGAGGTCCTTTTATGAAACCTTTATTAGAGCCTTCAAGCACATATTCTCTAGTTTATTTCATATATACATATTCCATTCCATAAATTACTCTGCCTGTGTCATACACATGCTTGTACACCTCATACTAGTATGGATCCAGACTACTGGCTCTGATGAAACACCCTCATCTTATCCTCATTACCCACGTCCTTCTGCTAAGACTTGGTATGTCTTTATTATACCCAATAAATTCTTAGGTTATGTCTTGTCCATTGTAATGTGTATCCCCCAATCATCTTAGTTGTTTCTCAATATAATACTCCCAAACTTGCATGGCCTTTTATGATCCTGTATTACAGTGGCAGTATTAACCCAAGTTACTTTTTTTCCTGTTAGAAAACATAATCTGGAATACTAATGCTGTCTAAATTATAGCCTGCTCAAAATAAAATATAAGCAGTTCAATTTTCTGTTTTTCTCCAATTTTCAGGGTTTTGAGGGGGAAAGCTTAATAGTATTGCCTGCAAGTCAAGAATTTGCTTTTCTTTGTTAACAAAGTTTTAGGCCTATATTCAGAAGGTTGGGATTTGATTGTTTTAGGAAACTGAGAATTAAATAGTCATAAAATTAGGGGCTATCGAGGATTTAAATTTTTTAGGATGTTAACAGTTTTTTGTACTATCTGAGTGTTCACTTCTAATATTGCTGTTTGGCCCTCTAAAACGCTGTTTTTTAAAGAGAGAGACAATGCATATTTTTTGAAAAAGGGCTCCTTTGCCTTCCATGCCACAGGTAAGAGAGGAAGTGATAAATTCCAGGGCACATTTGTATTTCATTTGAATCTTCTGATACTTTGATCTCTGCCTTGGTATTAAGGGAAATCCTTTATCACACTTAGGTGTGATAAAACTTTTATTTTTAAATTCCAACAAGTAAAATGTTTGGTTTGCAGATTTCAGTTGTGATCATTGGGCAGGTAGTATAGTGGATGAGAAAGAGATAGAAAGAGTTTGGGTTGGCAAAGGGGCATGTGAACTCTCGGGGCTCTGGACTTGACTGCTCAAGTGATTCAGTGGAATAGCCTCAGGCATTCTCTAGCCTTCAATTTTACGGGGTGGGATAGGGACTCTATCACTGATAATGTGAGTTAAGTGCTTTGAGATCACTAGATGAAAAGCACCCTATAAAATCCAAAATGCTAGTGTTAATTTTGCTACTGCCATCAGCAGAATTAATTGTTACTTTAATCATATTGAGGAAGGTGGGGCTCAGTTGACTTCCTATAGGCCAATGTAGGAATAAAAAAAAAACTATTAAATTGGGAAAAAAGGACCAGCCCCTAGGGTTGACTCAGTTTCCTAAAGAGGGCATCTCACCTTTCAGTGCAAGCACATTTCTCATTCAGGTCCTTTCATGTGTTACTCTAGAAGACCAAATATTCAGCTTCTACCTTTTCAGGGTTATAACTAAAAAAGCATACAGAGAGACAGAAAGGAAATGAGACTTACTGCCCTAGTTTTGAGGTTATTTTTTTCTCTTTTCATCGTAGCAAGAAATATTCCTTGTCCAAGGAGAAATCTCTTGTCTAGGACTGCCTGTCACTGCTGACCTTTTGTTTGTCTTTAGATTTTGATATTTGTTACTATTTGTGTCAGGTACCATGGCCCCCTTAAAAGAACTAGTTCTTTGATCACCTTAGGCCAGGTAAAGCCATGTTCTTCTCTTTCTAATATGAATTGCATTTAGAAGAGTGAAGAATTTATTGTTCCAAATGTAAGAGTCCATCATACACATAAGTGAAGTGGAAACTAATCTTTCTTTCAAAAGGCACTTTTAAACAGTGCTCTATGGGGTTTGAGCCTTGATGATCTTAAAAAATGCCCTGAAAGAATTTCTTTGATAAAGATATTTGTGTGTGTTTTTTTTTTCCAGGTGAGGCACTGTAACCCAGTTGAACTCTGCATTCAGACAGCCCAAGATTGAAGACAAAAGAGCAGACACACTAACCTGGAAACAGGGACCTCTTTGGAACTTTGCTTTCATTCACAGTAATCTTTAAAAAGTATCCAGTGGAATTTATTTTTTTTTCCATCTTAATTTTGCTTATTGGGAAGAACATGGCCTCAGGGATTTTATGTTTCCCTTTAGTTTTGCATGAACTCTCCAAGAAACGGAACCCTAAAAGGGCTTGAGAATAACAAGAGATTGAAGACAGACAAGCTTGCTCTTTCTCTGTTTTCTGTTCCCCTTCAAAGAAAAAGGATTTACAACTCAATCTTGTACCAGCTGCTGCCAAGCTTTAGCCATCAAGAGAAAAGAAATAAAATTAAACCTCCATTGCCATACTACAAGCCCTGAAGTCAAGGTGTGGGAGTGGTGACGTTGAGAAAACTGCCTGAAAGAGACAAGGACTACAGTAAAAACAGTTTCTCTTTAAAGCTGAAAATCCCAGTTTCCTTCTTGGATTAAAATAGAAGCACAGTGCACGCCTCTGGGTGAAGCTCACATTTTGTGGAAGTGTGGTAGTCGTGGAGGTACTACAGTATCTCTTCCGAAGAATTTTTCCTTGTCCGAAGTGTTCTGCCCTACCCTGATACTCTCCCCTTCTTTCCTTTTGAAGACTTATCTCCATCCATGAGCTATTCCTTGATCTGCCTGACTGTCTGTGTTCTCGACCTGCAACCATTTGCATGTGTACAGCCTCTTGTTTGTCTCCAGTTTTTAAATTGTACAAGTTGTGTTTCTTAGTCACCTTCTGCCTCGTGCTGGGGAGGTGGTTATTCATTATTTGGAATCACCTTTCCCCCTCCCATATACTCTGCTTCATTTGAGATCTTTTGACCTTTGGTTTTATTTGGGAGGGGGAAGGGTGATAATTTAAAATTTTCTCTTTCCCTGGTGTCCTGTGCTCTTATCTTCGGTGTTGCCCTCATCCCATTTTCTTGTCTGTTCTGCCGTTGTGTGGGCCTGGGCTATGCGGCAGGGCAGATCTCCCATCAGACCTCCAACATGCCCGCAGAGTCTGGAAAGAGATTCAAACCCAGCAAGTATGTTCCGGTCTCAGCAGCCGCCATCTTCTTAGTGGGAGCTACGACCCTCTTCTTTGCCTTTACGTGAGTTTTCTCCCAGCAGTGGTATTTGGGGGGCACTCCTTGGGAGGTGATGGGCTAGTTTTTCTCTTTGAGTTTTGCTTTCAAAGCCAAGTGACTGGGTGTTGGATGTCTGATAGAGGTAAATCTGAATCTCAGAAACATGGTATATGTTTTACTCCATTGAATCCTCTACCTTCCCCTGCTTCCCTTCCTCTGGAATCAAAGCTGTTCATATTTTCCTACCCAGCTCCATCATTAGATGATCCTGAACTAGGAAGGAAGTGGGGGAAACCACCAGAGAGGCTTGAAGCAGCTTAAGCAATCAGCCACTGCCAGTGGCTTTTCCCCTGGTTATCTGAAGCTTAAATTTAAGATTATGGGAACATAGTACAGGAGAATTTCAAAATTGATTTAGAAGATATACCATTGAGAGAGTTTTAGTTTTTAGTGTTACTTAAGGAGTGAAGGCCAATGGGAAGTGTACACAAATTTTATTTAGGAGGAGAGTCCTAGAAGACTTCTATTAGTTCCTGCTGAAGGGAATGGCAGCAATTCTTCCATTCCCTTGTTGTGTTAGGAAATGCAGTTGGTATTAAAAGATTTTCCACTTAGGATATTCAGACTTTGTTCGTTGGCTTGTTATTGGAGGAGACTGATTTATTTTTCCCCTTTCCCCCCGTATTTTAACTGTCAACCACATGAGAAACACCTTTGCTGTTACCTGTTTATAATTAAGATGGGCCAGTCTTCTGAGCCTTAAACTGTTGAGACATTGGTGTTCTATTTGTAGCTCTTGGAACAATCTGAGCATGTGGATATTTCTGGGGAGTTCACTTTGCTGTAGTTCAGGCTTAAACCTAATTGTGAGATGCTTTTTAGAGCAATGGGAGGTTGCTGGGAAGAGGAAAATGAAGTGGTGAGGTATAAAGCAGTTTGGACTCATTGAAAGACGAATGAAGCAGGAATTGCTGGCAATTACTATTATGGGAAGAAGTAGCGAACAGGAATTAAATCTGAGAAAGGAGGGAGGGAAACCTCCCAAATTGCCAGAAGGAATTCTTAAAAATATGGGCCAGCAAAATAATAGTGATTTTTTTCTATTTAGTTGTCTTTTTGATAATCCTCATCTGAGGATATCTTTCTGTTGATTTTTAGAGAGAGTAGAAGGGAGGGGGAGAGACAGAGGGAGAGAAACATCGATTGATTGCCTCCTGCATGTGCCCTGACTTGGCCAGGAATCGAGCCAGCAACCTAGGTACATGCCCTTGACTGGAACCGAACCCGGGACTCTTCAGTCCACAGGCCAATACTCTATTCCCTGAGCCAAACTGGCTAGGGCTTTTAGTTTTTTGATAAGGGAAAGCTCTATTGCCTAAGGTACAAGCACCATCCTATTTCTCACCTCTTTCTCTGATGAGTAGAAGTCATAGTTTTCCTTGCCCTAGCTCTCCAACCTGAATTTACCTGTGAAATCCTTTAGAGATCTAGAGCAGCCCCGCTCTTCTCTGTTCTTTATAATCTTTGTCTCAACATGTTCAGTGTTCTGCCCTTCTTCATGCATTGACTGCCAAAAAGGAGCAGGGAATTTTAGTGTCATCCTTATTTTGGTTTCTGCTCTTATGGGTAGATAGAATCAACATTTTAACCATGGGACAATTATATGGGATCTTATTATCCTTGTAGCCTTTGTGGCGCTGTGTCAGGAGGAATATATACAAGACCACTTTGACACCCTCAGACCTGCTTAATTGGGGAGGTTCAATCTTCCTTGAAGGGGCAAAGCTTTGGGGGAAGTTGGAAATTAAGGGGACTAAGTGATTTCTCTTTTTCAACCCATTTGTTCTTGAGCAGAATCCTTGCTCTTAATTTGCTAATCTGGAAACATTGAATTGCTTGGCTGGTTATACCAGTTTTGCCACAAATTGTTGTCCTGACATAGACATTTTCTCAACTGATAGTTGAAGCTATTTAACCTACTTTTCCATTCCCTGGTACCAGAAAAGTAGGGGCCCTCCTTATTCTATGGTCTCTTAGCCTGAAGAAAAAGAATTTTGGAGGACAATATTGACTTTGGAATTATTGCCTCTAATAAAAAATTAGAAGCCTTAAGTCTTAGTGAGAGTCCCCCTCCCCCGGAACTTTCCTCAGGACCAACTTCTGGGCTCTCTTTTCCTCCCTAGAGTCTCCTCACCCATCTGTGGAGACATAAACACCCTGAACCTCTGAAAATCTCATCTCTTCCTCTCCATCTAACCATAGCAGTTCATCTATAAGCTACATCTGGAATAAGGTGCCATTGATCTCAAAAACTGTTCTCCCATATATCCTATCCCTTTTGAGGTTCAAATCCTTGGAGAACCCTCTGTTTAAAACTGTTTACAACCTAAAAAATAATTTATCGTTTCAAGTGGAGAGACAAGAAGAAGGCTTTCTTTGAACCTGCTCCTATTTGGGCTCTAAGTCTGTAACTACTGTCATCCTCCTATTCTCTTCCTTTGGCTACCACTATCTTTCCAACCATTTGTGCAAGCCCCAGGTGAGAATTACTTTGGGACCTAGAAGACTGGGAGTAGGAGAAAAAGGCCCTTTTAGCTGACAGACATAATTAGTGGGAGCATATAAACTTCAACCAATTAGATGTAATATACCCGCCAAGTAGGGAAAGCTATGAGCAGAAATTATCAGTTGGGCTTATCATCAAAAAATGATCTTTCCCAGAGAAGCTTGAATAGAAGAGTTCAGGTCTTCCTCCTAGAAGCCCAATCTCCCTCACTGAATTTTTTCAGTACTAAAACTAAGCAGGTCAGTTATTGGGGATCATGTCTTAATTCTTTCCTGTTTTTACTGCTTGGGAAGGAGAGTGTCTGCTAAAGTAACCCTTCCCCTTCTAATTAGGTATTAGACTCTGCATTTAAGATAATGTGCCTGTATCCTCATCTTCTTTGCTAAGCCTCCTTTTGTGATTAGCAAGGAGGCAGTGCTAAGTAAAAGGAATCACACTTTTGGGGAGCCAGGAGACAGATTTTGGTAAAGTCTGTTAAACTTTGTGAACCTGCTTCTTCCTCTGTATAATGAGGAAGTTGACCTAGAGCAGCTATTTATAAACACCATGACCTTTTTTAAATGAGATCTTATTTGGAACCCCCAGTACATAAAACATAAGGGTAGAGCTTTCTGGTTCAGCTAAGGCTGATGCATAGCTACTTGTTGCATACTCTTTGTCTTCCTGAGGAGCCTTGAGACCTTTTTAGGGCTCCTAGCAGTGGTCTTTGAAATAAATCACTGAATTGTATCCTGTAAAGCCTCCTTGAACTGTGAGTAAAGTCAACCAGTATCTCATTTTGTTTACTTTTAAGGTCCGTAGGGAGGGCATGGGGCACATCTCTGGTGCTCTTCAGGAAGATAAAGTCTGGATTGTGCAGAAATCTGTGTTCTTTCCAGTGCCCTATCCATAGAGAGCTTTCTTCCTTTCAGTTTCTACCTCTGGCCCCTCCCAACCCTTTTATCCCAGAGAGTTGGGCAACTGGGGTGACTCTCCCTCTGGCTTTTTTTCCCCGATGGTGGAGGTGTTAGCACCTGATTTGAATGGGAGCAGTCTCGTGATTTAGGACATTAATTGAGCAGTGGTGGTTCTTTTTCCTTCCCACGTTTTTTTCTCATCCAGGAGTAAGTGTCCAGGTCCTGTCTTGCACTGAGCTGCTTGAAAGTCTGAGTAACAAACACACCATAAATGAAGTATTTTAAGGGGAACTTACCCACCTATAAGAGAAGAAATTGTTTTCCTGTGGAATCTTGATTCCTAAGGGGCAGGAAGTGGGGTATTCATTTCAACTTTTCCTTATTAACAAGAAACACTACTCGTATATTCAAATTATGTGCGAGGCATGGATGGAATGCATAGACCCGTTCTTTAGGAGGGCAGTGCCTATGTTTCAAGTGTTCTTGAATGTCCAGTACCTCAGAATGGGGAAGTGGAATGAAGGATGAAGGTGGAGCTGGAATGATAATTGATGATGGTTGTAATAGTAATGGGTGTGTGTGGTGTGTGTGTATGTGTGTATGTATATCTTTTAGCCAGTGAATGCCCAGTATTAAGCCATCTGGTTTAAAAAGAATTCTTTCAAACTTTCTCATTCTCATATTTGTATTATGTAGTTGAAGTAATTAACTTGGAGAGTTTTCTGTGGATTAATTTAGGTTACCTAGCAAAATATTGATTGAGAGAGAATTAAGATTAAAGGTTCTTGACTCCTCCTTTTTTTTTTTTTTTTTTTTTGTACTAGGAATTGAACCATTTATAGTAGGAAGTGTGAGAGATGGCTATGCAGCAGATTTTTCAAGAGTGTAGGTATTGAAACCTACTCTCCTCATTTTATTTGGCTCGAAAACAGGAGGGCTGAATGGGTAGGCAGAAGAACCTGTTCTTTCTGGGTTGGTAAAGGACTGGGAGTTTCATCAGTGAGTCAGTCAGCCAGCCTTCTGGGCTGCGGCCACTCCCTGTGCTTTGGAGCACTATGATTATTGCTATAGGCTGAGAACGAGCCCCAACAACTCTTCTCAGCTCAGCCCTCATCTCCTTCCATCAAAGGCAACAGCTTCAGACAGACTCCTTGGAGTGGTCACCTAGGATCTGACAGAATACTATAGCAACAGGCCTCTCCCTTAGCTAAACAGAATGGGATATGACAGGACCAGGCACTGCTCACACATGCCTCTCCTTGGCAGGGTGCTCTCTGGGCTAGAGTGTTTAGGTTAGAAGCAGTAGGTCCCTGATTTGCATCTAGGAGCAAATATTGCCTATGCGCTTATTTGTATCATTTCTAGAAACTGCCAGCTCTGGGGCAGGCTTTATTTTGGCAACAGATCCTAGAACTTGATTCTAGGTTTTCACACTTTGGGATAGGTTGATATAAGGAAGGTTGTAGGGGTAAAGTTTATTATCCCAGAGTTTGACCAGATACAGAAGAAATTGTGTGATTTTCTTTGTTTAGAAATGCAGAAACTGAAGAAAGAATGGGTTCAGAAAGGCTGACATTTGGGCCTGCGAAGTAGCTGCTGTCTCATTGTCATTTACCTTGGTTTCCCTCAAGAACAGTAATACCCTAATTTTTTTTTTTTTCAGAAGCTCAACAGGCGGCCACAGTAGCCATAATGGCCAATTCTAGGAATGAGACTTAAATCATGGTACCTCAGTGTTCTAAGGATTTAATTTCTTTTTCCCTTCTAATTATCTTCCCAGGCTGTAGGAGTCAAGTGAGTCACCCTTTCTCCTCTTCCCCAGGCGGAAATTAAAATGACAGCTAAGTACTAGGGAGGGGCTCCGACCTGGATGACTGGTTTTCAGTTTCTCTCCCTCCCTTCCTAGGAGCTAGGAACTCAGGCTATAGGTGGGGCTGTGTAAGGACTCTTCCTTCTTGCTTATAGTTCACCCCAAAACCTGCCAGAGTAGGGAGACATCTTTTCTGAACCAAAGAAACCCCAGAGGAAGATGCTTTCATAGGAGACTGATAATGAACCCAGAACTGTAATGGGAGATGTTTTTTCCTTGAAATCAATGCCTTTATTCTAACTTCATTATCTTCCAGTTTTGATCCATCAGAAGCTAAGAGTTAATTGATATTTACTACCTAAAAAACTTTGCACATAATATTTACTTAAATTTTTTTAATGGAATTTGAATAAATAGATGGTGGTGGTCAAGACTTTCAGATGCTTTGTGACAATCACCTTTGTCTCTTATCATTAGTTTATTTATATTTCATTATGGAGTTCAATTCCTATGAATCACTGCTCAGGGCCCTGCTTTTTGTTTTGGTAGAGACACATCACAACAGAATCCAGGACTGCTGTGGATGAATTCTCCAGACTCATGCTGTCATGTTCTCTTGGCCCTTGCTTCCTTCAATGAGCTCTTCCTTTCCTTCTGAGTGGTCTAGATAAAGGGGACAAAGACAGATGCTGTCCTAATTCTGGAGATTAAGTTCTCAGACACAAAGCAGATTAGGGTATTTAGCCACTGTCCTGTAAAGGGAAATGTTTCCTGAGCTGAGACAGGAGCGAAGGTCTTTGATATTATTGACAGAGCAAGCAGCACATCTGTGTTCTGAAACTTCCAGTTCCCAGAATATCATCAGAGAAAGAAAGAGCACCTGCAGCATTCCTACTATACTCACATCCCAACAGAAACTGAGTGTAATCGCTTTTTTTTGTTTTGTTTTTTGTAATCCAAGAAAAGTTATCCGGCATATTTCTTGATTTGGACCCTGTGAAATACTGGATATATTTAACCAGCTTCTTTTACCTACAGGATTTAGGGTGGCTTGGTCTGGTATCTTCTCTTTTATTTTTTTAAAGCGTTATTAATTTTAGAGGGAGAGAAAGGAGGAGAGGGAGAAACATCCTTTGGTTGCCTTTTGTACACACCTTGACCGGGGATTGAACTCAAAACCTAGGTATGTGTCCTGTCCTAGAATCGAACCCATAACCTTTCGGTGCATGGGACAACACTCCAGCTAAGCTACTCAGCCAGGCCTGGAATCTTTTCTTTGTTCCCCACTCTTCTGCTTCATTTATAGACCTCAAGAAGTCTAGTTTTGTGCCATTCATATCTGGGTATTATTATTTTTTCCCTTTTTTCACCTTGAGAACTAGTTTCTAGTTGAATAAAACTCTCAGGAATATCTGACACAGTGAAGAAATGTCAGACAGTTGAGAGCGGTACAAAGCCAGAGGGAGTGGAAGCCAGAGGCAGGTGGTATCTCATGCTTTGGGCAATGCACAGGTCACTGGGGCATGGCTGGGATTCAGAAGCCTCAAGACTGCTACAGAGGGGGCGGAGGGTGGGGGACCTGGTGGAGGGGGGAAGAAATGAGGAACCTTTGTAATAATATGAACAATAAAGATTGATTTAAAAAAAAAAAAAAAAAAGACTGCTACAGAGAAGGAAGTGTAGTTGGTATCAGTGTAGTTGGTACAATATCAGTCCCTAACTCTTGTGCCCTTTAAAAAAGGAGATAAGAGCAGATTCTAAAACCTTTTAAAGATCCACCAGGAAGAAAGAATCTAAGGAACACAGACCTTTAGTGCAAGGGGTTATGGTAGGAAAGTGTGTCTTTTTATTTTTTATTTTTTTTATTTTCTTTATTGATTTCAGAGAGGAAGGGAGAGCGAGAGAGAGATAGAAACATCAATCATGAGAATCATTGAGTGGCTGCCTCCTGCATGCCCCCTACCGGGGATCGAGCCCAGAACCTGGGCATGTGCCTTTGGCCTGAATTGAACCCAGGACCCTTCAGTCTGCAGGCTATCTGCTGAGCCAAACTGGCTAGGGCATGGAAGGAAAGAGTGTCTTGTACATTGATCTAAAACGAGCATTTCTTTGGGAAACTGGAAGAATACAATAATTTGAGACAGCAAAGGTGAACTACAGAAGATTTAAATATAAATATGGGGACTGAATCTTTATATGGTTGGTGTCCAAAGTGTTAGAAGCAGCCCCTCATTTTCTTTCTTATCTATGCAGCTGTCCAGGACTAAGCCTCTATGTGTCACCTGCAGTGCCCATCTACAATGCGATTGTTTTTCTCTTCGTGCTGGCTAACTTCAGCATGGCCACCTTCATGGACCCAGGGATTTTCCCTCGAGGTAAGAGGAAGCTCCTTATTACCTTTAAAAAATAATGATTTTTGGACATGAGTGATAAGGTTTTGGGATACTTTTATAGTCTAATGATGAAAAGCAGGTCAGGGCCTTTAGTACTACTATATGTCATAACTTCTAGCCATGTGATTCACTTTGAATCAGCTCTTTTTCAGTTATCTGTTTTGCAAAAATATATGTGAACATACCGTTTGGGCGGTATTGCTAGGCACAGTACTATCCAAGATGAATTAGGCAGTTATAACAGTGTGATGCAAACTGTAATGGAGGTCTCAAGATTCTGTGAGACCATAGAAAAAGTGTGCACTAACGTGCTCAGATAAACTGGGAAATGCTGCCAATGATAGATAGGAAAGACTTTACCATGTAGAGGATGGAAAGGAAGGACCTTCTAGGCAGAAACTTGAAATGCTGAACTCAGTGGGGTGGAAGGTATAGAGCATGGTATGGCCAGAAAGGGCGAAAGAGAAACCCAGAACCAAATAGTGGAAGACTTTATATGTTAAATTAAATAGATTTTCTTCCTTTAATTGGAAGAAGCACAGGACCAGATTTCATTTTACAAATATAATTTTTGTAAGAACGTACAGATACCATTTGGGAGGCTATTGGGATAATGCAAACCAGATGAAAATCTGGTTTGCATTATCCCAATAGCCTGGATAGGGATTTACAGATTTTTTTTAGAAGAAGACTCAACAGAACTTCGCAAGACCAGTGGCTTACTGGGGAAAAGTGAGAGGGTAAAGGAATTGTTCCTAGGTACCTAACTTGGGAGATAAGTTTGATGCTAATTTTTGTAAACCAAGATGCTACAGGAATGTTGAACAAGTTTGGAGGGAAGATAGCATCTCAAAATGTTGAATTGGAGATATTTATTAGTCAGTTGAGTAATCAGACTCTCCAAGTCTTTAGAATGTGATATTTGAAGCAATAGGAGTAAGATTGTCTAGAGAAAGTAGAATGAGATTAGAAAAAAAACTAAGATCATACCTGACTAGCACTGACATTTTAATGAGGAGTAGACCAGAAGGAAGAGTAATTGAAGAGGGATTGAGCAAGAAAAGTTAGTGCCCTGGCCAGTTTTGCTCAGTGGATAGAGCATCGGCCTGCAGATTGAAAGGTCCCAGGTTCGATTCCGGTCAAGGGCATGTACCTTGGTTGCGGGCACATCCCCAGTAGGGGGTGTGCAAGATGCAGCTAATCGATGTTTCTCATCGATATTTCTAACTCTATCCCTCTCTCTTCCTCTCTGTAAAAAATCAATAAAATATATTTTTTAAAAAACACCAAAAACTGTCATTGGTAGAGTAAGAAGAAAGACACTGATGAAGACTTTTTCTCTCAAATGTAAAGTTATCATGTAAGAGTGAGACAATTGGGATTGGGATAGCAACTTTGGTGAGGTGAAGTTTTTCTAAAATTCATTGTGTTCAAAAAAGCTGTGCTTCATTTGTAACTTCTGTTTCAAATAGCTGATGAATGAAAGGAACTTTAAGTTCTTAAAAACAAGTAGGGCTATTTTAATAAGCTTTTAGTGTTCTTTTGTCAAGTATTTATCTATTCCAGTGATTTCGCCGAAACCAGTTTGGCTCAGTGGTAGAGCATCAGTCTGTGGACTGAAAGGTCCCAGGTTCGATTCCGGTCAAGGGCATGTACATTGGTTGCAGGCACATCCCTGGTAGGGGGTGTGCAAGAGGCAGCTGGTCAATGTTTCTCTCTCATTGACGTTTCTAGCTCTCTATCTCTCTCCCTTCTTCTCTGTAAAAAATCAATAAAATATATATATATTTAAAAAAATTTTAATATATTCCAGTGATTTCCAACCAGTGTGCTGCAAGAATTTTTAAAACATGTCTATTTAGTTGGGCACTTACTTCTTTTCTAGATTGTCAAATGAAAAAAATGACAACCAACACAACAGTAGTCTTCTGGTGTGAATAAATCAAATGTATACCTTTTATTTTGTCACATCAGCAAAAAGTATATTTTTTGGTGTACCAAAGAATTTTAGTAATTAGTTTATATGTGCCATGAGATAAAAAAAGGTTGAAAGTTGCTGATCTATATGGAAGACATGGTCATTAGGGGTGATTTTTTTTTTTTTTTTAAAGGTCCTTGCTTTCAAATAGAAGGGAAAATAGGAAAGATATTTATATGAATAGGTACCCTGCATATACTATATAATGAAAGCCTAATATGCTAAGTGTCTAGTCGTCCAGTTGTCTGTTCAACCAATCAAAACGTAATATGGTAATGGATGCTAAGGCTGCTCAACGGCTCGCTATGACGTGTACTGACCACCAGGGGATAGACGCTCCGACCAATAGGTTAGCTTGCTGCTAGGGTCCAGCCAATTGGGAATGAACAAGATAAGTCAGACAGGCTCTGGAGCCCTCCCTCGGTTCCTTTCAGGCTGGCCAACCTCCTGCCTTGGCCCCGATCATGCACCAGTGGGGTCCCTTGGCCTGACCTGCACCCTCTTGCAATCCAGGCTAAGAGACCCCCTTCCCCAAGTATAGGAGTTTTGTGCACCGGCCTCTAGTTAAGTTATAAGAGTAATCAAATAATTATATAGTACTTTAAAAAAATAAAGAACTCACTTCTGATAGATGATGCTGTGGAAGGATCAGAGATTTCAAAGTAGCATTAAAATTTTAAAATATAGCCGAAACCGGTTTGGCTCAATGGATAGAGCTTCGGCTTGGGGACTGAAGGGTCCCGGGTTCGATTCTGGTCAAGGGCATGTACCTTGGTTGCAGGCACATTCCCAGTAGGGGGTGTGCAAGAGGCGGCTGATTGATGACTCTCTCTCATCGATGTTTCTAACTCTCTCTCTCTCCCTCTCTGTACAAAATGAATAAAGTATATTTTAAAAAAAATTTTAAATATGAATATTTTAATAGTGTATGTTCATTATATAGAAAGTATAAACAAGACAAGTATCATCTATAATTTCAAAGCTCAGAGATAACTAGTTTATATGTTATTTGTAGTATGTAAATTGGGAATATCAATGTACCCATATCATAGCCACCTGAGTCATATTTTCTTTTTTCTCTTGCTTTAAAAAAATAAAATAAAATAAATACACACACACACATATATTATTGATTTCAGAGAGAAAGGGAGAGGTAGAGATAGAAACATCCATGATGAGAGAGAATCATTGATTGGCTGCCTTCGGCACACCCCACACTGAGGAATGAGCCCAAAACCTGGGCATGTGCCCTGACCTGTAATTGAACCACGACCTTCTGGTTCTGAACCATGCCAGCCGGGTGAGTCATATTCTCTTGAACCAGTGCAGAAAAAATTGCTTCTTCAACTGTGTTCCAATAATGTTGTATTAGCCTCACAGTATTAGTTCCTAGTTCCTAGTCTCTCCCCCATTAGTCTTAATTCCTTGAAGGCAGAGGCCATATTTTAAATATCATTGCATCCCTAGTGCTTGGTACAGTTCTGACACAGTTGTTTTTTCATTGACTTTCCTCTCTGCAGCTGAGGAGGATGAAGACAAGGAAGATGATTTCCGAGCTCCCCTTTACAAAACAGTGGAAATCAAGGGCATCCAAGTGCGCATGAAATGGTGTGCCACCTGCCGATTCTACCGTCCTCCTCGATGTTCCCACTGCAGTGTCTGTGACAATTGTGTGGAGGTGAGAACCCTGAGTGGGGTATCACTTGGTTCTTAACTCAAGTGGTCTTCTTCCGACTCAAGAGTAAGGATTGAATCCTGTGCATGAAATATAGTCCTGGCTAACTATGTGGGCAGTGTGTACACGAGAAGTAGAGTGCAAATATTCTGTTACAGGAGGGATCTCAAGTGCCATAGGCTTTCCCAGCACCACGATTCATGGCTCTAGCCTTCCTTCCCTTGGCTCATCTTTCTGGTTACCTGTCCTGACTTTGTGTTATCTTTTGCGTCTACAACAGCATACTGTTGCATTCAATTTTTAAAAAAATATATATTTTATTGATTTTTTTTACAGAGAGGAACAGAGAGTTAAAAACATCGATGAGAGAGAATCATCGACCAGCTGCCTCTTGCACACCCCCTACTGGGGATGTGCCCACAACCAAGGTACATGCCCTTGACTGGAATCGAACCCGGGACCTTTCGGTCCGCAGGCTGACACTCTATCCACTGAGCCAAACCGGTTTCGGCTAGTTATATTTTTCTTAAGCTTTTGTGTTTTTGGGGGGTTTGGAGAGAGAGGAAAGGAGAGGGAGAAAGAGACAGAATCATCCATGTGAGAGTGGAACACAGGTCAGCTGCCTCCTGCATGCTCCTTCCCAGGGATGGAGCCCACAACCTGGGCATGTGCCCTGACTGGGAATTGAACTGGCAACCTTTGCATGCCCAGGATTATACACGCAACCAACTGAGTCACACTGGCCAGGGCTCTTTTGACTCCCCCCATCCCCCCAAGTTTTTACTTAGCTGTAAGCATTTGCCTGTCATATTTTCCTTCCAAGCCTCTTAGAATCCTGATTTTTTGCAAAGCCTCTGACATTCTTCTATTTCAGAGTTCCTTGGTCACATAGGATAAACTTTTGAGAGGCAACTTTGGTCTTTGATCGTCAACCTTTGGAAAGCCTTCCTTAGAGACTGGTAGAGCAAGATAAACTGCTCGATCCTGTTTCCTGTTTTAATTGTGCAACAAAATAATTAACATGATTATAGATAAAACAACAGTTAAGCTTTGCCATTTGTCTGTCTTCTTGACTGAAAAGTGACCTAGTGCCATGGTCCAAGGATGCCTCTCATTCTCTCTTTTTGCCCCTAGGAATTTGATCATCACTGCCCCTGGGTGAACAACTGTATTGGTCGCCGGAACTACCGTTATTTCTTCCTCTTCCTCCTTTCCCTGACAGTGCACATTATGGGTGTGTTTGGCTTTGGCCTCCTTTATGTTCTCTACCACGTGGAGGAACTCTCAGGGGTCCACACAGCTGTCACGTATCCTTCAAGGCTTGGATTGTGGGAATGGGAGGGGGAAGAGTGAGGAATGTTAAATCCTGTGGTAGTAAGGCTCAAGGGAAGATGGCTACAGTATGGGTCAGAGAAGACGAGATCATGTTGTTCTGCTCTCCTTGACTGTTTGGCTTCAGGATGGCAGTGATGTGTGTGGCTGGCTTATTCTTCATCCCTGTAGCTGGCCTCACAGGATTTCATGTGGTGCTGGTGGCTAGGGGACGCACAACCAATGAACAGGTATAGGAAGAAATGATGGGATACCTCTGCAGAGTAGGGCTTGTCTTTTAGTCCTGAGATTAGTGTTTAGCCTGTGCTTCCACACATGGATACTACATTTTTTTCTCCGCAACCTAAATATATTTGAGGCGGTGTCCATTTTCCTCATGCAAGCATGAGAATAGAAGCCATCTCTAGTTAACATTTTCAGAATGCCCACTTCTATTAGACAATTTGGGCTCTAAGTTTAGAGAAGCTTAATAAAAGACCTGCACCAGCCCTCAAGAAGCTTATAGTGCTGCTTAAAGCCAGTTATTTTTGTGCATAATTAACCTTGCTTGCTTACTATTTTGTATATTATCATAGTTTTCTATATTCAGAGAGGTATTTATCCCCATTTTACATGAGGAAACTGATGAGATAGCTATGGTGAGGAAGACATAGGATTTGAACTGAGGACACTGACTCTAGAGTTGCCATTCTTAGCTATCACAGGTAGAAGTTGGTTGATGGCAGGATTGTGTTTTACTCATTTCCTTTTTTTTTTTTTTGTATCTCCCAGATAGTGGCTATACCATAATTTGTCATTGGTTTGTGTTTTGGTCTTGGGAAGTCAGGGATCCATTGTCTGACTGCTCCGGCCCTTTTTCCCTCCCTCCAGGTAACAGGTAAATTCCGGGGAGGTGTGAACCCCTTCACCAATGGCTGCTGTAACAATGTCAGCCGTGTACTCTGCAGTTCCCCAGCACCCAGGTACATCTATATCTATCCCTTTGGTTTGCTGTTCACCCTTCATTATAACTTGTCTCCTTTGGGCTGCTTCTGGTGCCAGGTCTGCTGAGAGACTGCCATTAGGAAGAGTTCCCTTAGAATGGGAAGTAACTGCATGGGAAAGACATGCCATCCTTTAGTGGACATTATGAGTTCAGTTGATACTCGTCAGGTATCAGGTTACTTTCCTGAGAGTTGAGATTTACTCCAGAGTGTCCTGAGCTAGCTATTTGCCCAAAGGCCTAGTCTTTTTTTTTTTTTTTTTTAATCAATCTTTATTGTTCATATTATTACAATGGTTCCTCATTTCTTCCCCCCTCCACCAGGTTCCCACCCCACCCTCCGCCCCCTCCCCATCCCCCATTGTCCTCATCCATAGGTGCACAGTTTATGTTCAGTCTCTTCTTCCCTCCCTTTCCCCGATAGTAAATTCCTTTTCAGATAGTAAATCAGTTACTTAGCATTTTCTCATATCAATAATACCTCCACATACCCAATGATAACACTTCACACAAAAGACATTTCCCAATAGGTCAACTAGCCTCATCCAGGCCTCACCCAAGGCACTCACAGATCAACACCCCAGCCCTATACTAACTCAACACATCCAGATCTAAGCCTTCATCACTTGATTCAGCCGACCCTCAAGTTCCCGCGAAAGTTTCCAGACATGTCTGAGAGGCAACCGTGGGGCAGGGGCAGGTGAGCGAGCTGTTCCAGGCCTGGCTGCTCCGGGCCTGGCCTCTGTTGCTCTGGTTCGTTCCACAACCAGCTGCTCCAGGTCTGGTCACTGCCGCTCCCGACCTAGTTGCTCTGGACTTGGCTGCTGCTGCTTCGGGCCTGGCCACACCCGACCCAGCTGCTCTGGGCCCGGCCGCTTCGGACCCGGCTGCTCCGGGCCTGGCTGCACCAGACCCGGCTGCTCCGGACCTGGCCGCTCCCAGCCTGGCAGCCGCTGCTCCGGGCCTGGCCACACCAGACCCGGCTGCTCCGGGCCTGGCCACTCCCAGCCAAAGGCCTAGTCTTATTGCAGTTGTGGAATCAAAGAAATCTGTTCAATACTGATCTTTTCACTGGCCTGGTTGGACTGTTTATTATGTATAAATGCTTTATACAAGGTAGGTAATCAGTAGACACATTTAAATGAATGAATGAATGAATGAAAGCCTTTTTACTCTTAACACTCAGGTATTTGGGGAGACCAAAGAAAGAGAAGACCATTGTAATCAGACCTCCCTTCCTTCGACCAGAAGTGTCAGATGGGCAGATAACTGTGAAAATTATGGACAATGGCATCCAGGGAGAACTGAGGAGAACTAAGGTGAGGAATTTAGGGGAGCAAAACTAGGTATTTGGAAGCTCTCACTCTGGGAAAGAAATGGAAACATACTTATAGTTTACATCTCTCATGGTATTTATCACTTTCTGTCTTGTGTTAAAATTACTTAAAATACCTACCTTTTCTCTTTTAGATTGTGATTTACTGACATAAATTGAATCCATTCATTTCTGTCTTCATAGGACTTAACATAGCACATTGCAGGTGGTTGGAACTCAAGTAATAGTTATGATTAAAATGAGCAAAGCCCTGGCCAGTGAGCTTAACGATTAGAGTGCCAGCCTGTGCTCAAATGGTCATGAGTTCAATGCCTGGTCAAGGTCATACACATGGGTTGCAGGTTCGATCCCACATGGAGGAGGCAACCAATTGATGTATCTTGCTCACAATGATATTTCTCTCTCTCTAGCCCTTCTGCTCTCTTTAACAATCAATGGAAAAATAACATCAAATGAGGATTAACAAAAAAACAAAAACCAACCCACCAATAAATGGCAGGATGAAACCCTTTTTTTAACCCAGTACCATTCTCAAACTGACTCTTGTCCCTTGTCTTCCAGTCCAGAAATATATAATTGACTCTCTAACAACTCCTGTGTTACCAGTTTAATATTTTTGAGTTGCCTAATGCCCAGTTCTCCAAATCTGATTTTCCCTCCTTTATCCAGTCTAAAGGAAGCTTGGAGATTACAGAGAGCCAGTCCGCTGATGCTGAACCTCCACCTCCTCCTAAGCCAGACCTGAGCCGTTATACAGGGCTACGAACACACCTCAACTTGGCTGCTAATGAGGGTAAGGACAGCAGTAAGAGTGAGAAGGTGACTGAATTGTAGAGCACATACAGGCAAGGACTAAGAGATAATGCTTTTCTTGTAGCTGAGAACACCTAATAGTTGGCACTTGAGCCACTACTTTGAACAGCTGGGAGAAAGGAGATACCACTTAACTAATGGCAGTGAATTAGAAATTAGATGTTTGTGAGGGAACTGTGAGCTTTAGACAGAGAGCATCCTAGTCCTGTTTGGTATATTCACTCCGAGATCTGGGTTAATAGGAGTCTTTAGTCTTGATTTCAACAAAATCGTGTTCCATTGGCTGAGTATACCTCTTCCTACCTTATTCTCTCCTGTATCTTAATGAACTTTAGCCAGGTTAAGAGAATAGCTTGTAAAGTGGTTCTCCTGGGCCTTTCCCCCCTACAGACAGCAGCCTGTTGAGCAAGGACAGCCCTCCCACACCTACCATGTACAAGTATCGGCCAGGCTACAGTAGCAGCAGCACATCAGCCGCCATGCCTCACTCTTCCAGCGCCAAGGTACTGGGTTCTCCCTAAGCAGTAGGGTTGTAAATATGCCACTTGTTCTGGGAAAAAGGTTGGGTGAAGGGAAAGAAGAGGCAGAGGGAAGAAAAGAAAATCAAAGGCGTTTTACTAATTGTTGGTGTTAGGGGGATTGAATTGCCTTGATTTTACTTTATTAAAGGGGGGGCAAGGAAGTAAAATAAATAAAAATACTGATTGTCATACCTAAATTCAAAACCCATCATGAGCAAGTTACTTAACCTAAGTTTTATTTTTTGCATCTTAAAATGTGGTATTATTTGTACTAACTCATAAATTTCTTTAGGGATTAAACAAGATAATGCATACAAATGTTCTAAACATTGCTGGCAAGTAACAGGCCATTTTTGAGGGACATCTTGGGCTTTGGGACCTGGCTTCTGTCACATGAGGAGCCGCACTAAGAGCCTGCTTTATTTTCTCCCCCAGTTAAGTCGTGGTGACAGCTTGAAGGAGCCAACCTCAATTGCAGAGAGCAGCCGCCATCCCAGCTACCGGTCAGAACCCAGCCTGGAGCCAGAGAGCTTCCGCTCTCCCACTTTTGGCAAAAGCTTTCACTTCGATCCATTGTCCAGTGGTTCACGCTCCTCCAGCCTCAAGTCAGCCCAGGGCACAGGCTTTGAGCTGGGCCAGTTGCAATCCATCCGTTCAGAAGGCACAACCTCCACCTCCTATAAGAGCTTGGTCAACCAGACACGCAATGGAAGCTTATCGTATGACAGCCTGCTCACTCCTTCCGACAGCCCTGATTTCGAGTCAGTGCAGGCAGGGCCTGAGCCAGACACACCGTTAGGCTACACCTCTCCCTTCCTGTCAGCCCGACTGGCTCAGCAGCGGGAAGCTGAGAGGCACCCACATTTGGTGCCAACTGGCCCAGCACACCGAGAGTCCTCACCAGTCCGGTACGACAATCTGTCGCGCCATATTGTGGCCTCCCTCCAGGAACGAGAGAAGCTGCTACGCCAGTCACCCCCACTCCCAGGTCGAGAGGAAGAACCAGGCTTGGGGGACTCAGGCATTCAGTCGACACCAGGCTCAGGCCATGCCCCTCGTACTAGTTCCTCCTCAGATGATTCGAAGAGGTCACCCTTGGGCAAGACTCCATTGGGACGCCCAGCTGTGCCCCGATTTGGCAAGCCAGATGGACTAAGGAGCCGGGGTCTAGGGTCCCCTGAATCAGGCCCAACTGCTCCATACCTGGGCCGATCCATGTCGTATAGCAGCCAAAAAGCTCCACCTGGTGTCTCTGAGACTGAAGAAGTGGCCTTGCAGCCGTTACTGACACCCAAGTAAGTATTAGTTCATCCTGGCCTTCAGCGCACTTATAATTAGCATCCTGCCCTGCAGAAGGTATCAGGACTGCCCTTGTATGTTCTAGTGCAAATGGACCCAGGGTTGTCCCTCTTGTGGATAGCTCTTCATTTTCATTCTCACTCCAGCTGCCTTCATGGGCCATTCCTGTCAAGAGACTGAAGTTTAATACTTTTTCTTAATCCTGTCCTAAAAATTTATTTGAGTGTAAATATACAAGATAGGTGCTATTGGAGTCAGGCTTGTTTCAAGCAGTGCAATAAAACAAAAGGGAATATTTAGGTGTAAAGTATATATTTCCTAAGTACAGATCATTTAATTAAAAGTTATTCATCATACTAAAAAAATATGTATGGAGAAAAGTACATAATTTTTTTTTCCCTCCTGAACTTTTAAAACTGTCTCCCTTTTCTGTGTTTTGTGTCCCAGTTCCTGATACCTCTCTTCTTTTCTTCACAGAGATGAAGTACAGCTCAAGACCGCCTACAGCAAGTCCAATGGGCAGCCCAAGAGTATAGGCTCAGCTTCCCCTGGCCCAGGCCAGCCACCTCTCAGTAGCCCCACAAGGGGAGGAGTCAAGAAGGTGTCAGGAGTAGGTGGTACCACCTACGAGATTTCAGTGTGAGCCTTCGGCACCTCCCCTCCCCCACACCTCTGCGCCTGCACCAAAGGGCCCCCAGGTGGCCACCTTCCTTTCCTCAAGGGGCTCTCCCCTGCATGGACATTTTTTTAAATCACCGATTCCAAGAGGATGAGGAGCGTTTTATAAAATGCAATGGGGTTGGGGAGTCTGAGAGTTGGGGCCCTGAGACTGGGGTAGCAACCCCTTTACCTATTAAGACCTTCCCTACCTTAGCCCCTGGACCAGACTCAGTGGACATTTGTGCAATTGCTCGCCCTGGAGAGAACCAGATCATTTTTAAACCAGAAATAATTTTTTTTATTATTGTTACGGATTCTATTTTTTTCCTCTTCTGCGTTACCAGGTGTGTGTGTGTACATATATATATTATACATATATATATTATAAATATCAAAGAAATTATATATCTATCCTGGGATGGGAAAATGAGGGAGGGATATGTTTAAGGAGGGGGATCTTACTCTTCCCATTCCTGGGACCAGCAGGACAAGAGAAAAGGTGTGGATAGAAGTTTTCCTTTGCCCCAGGGTTCTCTTTTGTCCATCACCAATTAAGAAAATAGCACCCCCTGTTGGTGCTTAGTGATCAGGAAAGGAACTGAAGAGAGGCGAGTCTGAAGTCTTGGTCAGAGGAGAGAGTGAAGTTTTTAGGGCTCATTGGCACTTAGTTTCCCCAGGAGAGGGGTTGTACCCCCATGATTTTCTTTGGTGGTGGGGAGATCAGGAAAAGAACTTGGCCAAATTCCAGAAACAACTGGATAATCCCCCTTTTGGGATGGAAGGATTAGGGTGGGCTTTTCCAACTAGCCCCTCAAAACCTTCCCTCATTTCACAGTTAAAATTTTTATATCCAAGGCCAGGAGAGAAGAATCCAAAAAGCAATATTTTTCATCACATGCCAAAAACTGGGGATAGAGAGGAGCCTAAGCCCCTCCGACTATCCCTCGAGAGGTACCCCTCAGCCCACCTCAGTATGGTGCTGGGTAAAGGAGATACCTGGGTTCTAACCTCTAAACAGGGAGACCCCAGCCTCTAGATAGAGGCCCTTTTATTTTTTATTCTGATTAGCCATTTTAAAACCAAGGAATAAAAAGAAATCCTGATCTAACAAGCTCCCCCCTGACTTGTGTTATTTTGTCTGGTTAAGGCAGGGTGAATGATCTCTGGTGGGGAGTCATAAAGCCTCATAAGTTTCTCTGGTTTTGATCCATCTTTAGACAAGACTATAGTGAAAATAATACTTAAGACAACAGGTCCTGATATTTTTTCCCCCCAGGGATTTAATCCAAAAAATTCCTGGGGGAAAAAATCATTTTCAACTACTAACGTCTGTTATTTTGAAACTTAGAGAACTCTTGACTTGTGCCACACTTGTTCCTCAATACAGAATTTGTCTTTGAAAAGTAAAGTTCATTTTGGATGTAGCCAATGGGAAGACTGAATGATCAAAGTATGAAAGCTCTCTTAATAGCCAGCTGTACAGATGGGTGGCAGTTCAATTTGATACCTCCTATTTTTGTCTCTATTTGCAAAAGCAAAAGGCTCTAATTTTAATAGGCACCCTTGGACACTTAATCTCGGAAAACTGGCTAGAACCTTTTATTTTCACTGCTGATAAGTATATGAACTCTTCCTCTGAAATCCTACTTTAAAACTGGAGATAAATGAGAGGTTTTTCCTCTATGATCTTGGGACAGCCTTGGCTCATAGCAACAGATTTTAACTGTTCTGCCGATTTAACTTCAAGTCTGATTACATTAAACTGGGTTTTCTCAGATTTATTTTAGTTATTTGGCCTACAAAGACCAAAGGGATTTAATTTTACATTTTGTTAGTGTAGGCTGCCTTTTGTTGCTGTCTTAGAAGCTTAGAAATGTTTCCTCATCAGCCAAATACTTTGTCTTAACTGAGGAATGAGGCAGTTCCAAAGTTCTTACTACTAGTATAAAGATAAGAGAAGAATTTACCTTTGCTTGCCAGATATTCACTTCAAAAAAATCATGGGCTTGACCAAGAATCAACCTGTTGAAGTACAGTGGTGATTGTAGGTGCTTGTTTGGCTATTTTGTTTTAACACAAAATTGACCTAGAATACAGTAAACCCTAACTGGATCAGCTCTTCAGATGGAGTATGAAGATCATCCAGGTGTCTGGTTGTCAACATTATGGGCAAGGTGTTATTTTATTTGTCTTCTGTGGAAAGGCATTAACAAGCTCTTCCTAACTTTGGACCATGCTCCCCAATTTCATTTTGGTTGGTTCCCTGCCTACTGATAATATAATACAAAGCCCAAATCCCCCCCAGATTTTAGCATGCCTTTGCTTAAACTCTGACTCTTACAGAAAGGCACTTACCTCTTAACAGGCAGCCATACTTCAGCCAGTTTGATAAATGCATTTTTTTTTTTTTTTAAGAAAAACCTTAACAAATCAGATAAGGTTATAAATCAGACAAACTGCACAAAAGAGATGAAAAGAAAGCTTTCCTGGGAGAGGAAGTGATGTCCATGAGAAAGCTGGGCTGAGCCTTACAAAAGCATGGCCCTTCTCTCTCATAATGCATTCCTCTATGAGCACAGTAGGTCTGCTTCTGATCCAGCCACTGAGATGCTCCTAAGGCAGTGTCCAAGAGCCAGGAAGGCAGTTTTTGACAGCAGGTTCAGTACAGCAGGAAAAGTCATTCTGGTAGAGTCGTCTTGTTAGCGGAGGCTGCTGCTGCTGCTGGCCTGAGAACTGCCCATACCTGGGTGGTCTGGACTGTGTCGGTTCTGGGGAAGACAAAGCAGGAGCACAAGAACAACTAGGAAGTAGCCTTGGCATTGACCAGGAGTGGAAGGGAAAACAGAGCAACCTGCCCTGAGTTTTCAATTTTGGTCCAACCTGAAGCTAAGGACTCTACCTAGTATAGGGGTGAGACATAAGGGAAACTCACTGGACTACAGCAACAGGCCCCTATTTTACCTTCTTTTTCTTCTTCTCTTTCTTCTTCCTTTTCCGTTCAGGATCCTCTTCTTTTTTCTTTTTCTTTTTCTTGTGATCTGAATCAGATGGCGTTTCTGTTGGAGACATTAGGTGCCTATCAACTGTAGAGCTCAAAATCCTCTCCTGCTAGAACTCTGCATATTATAGGAAGACCCTTAGTCATTGGCAACTGCTTTTGTTCAAATGGCCAGAGAGGATATGCAGGCACTGCTAAGGTCCCTGTCCCAAGGTCCTACTTGCCCAGAAAACCCCAGAACATCAATTTCTTCTTTCAGGAGAATTTGGGAGTCCAGGACTCAGTAAAGAACTTTTTTTTCCTTCACCCTGAGGAGGGGTGAACCAGATTCAGAACATCAGGTTTTCTGGCTTTAAATAGAACTGCTTCTTACCTGGGGGGACAGGATCCTGGGTACGGCTCTGTTTGTGCTTGTGCTTATTCTTCTTCTTGGGGGGCTGAATGTGCATCAGACGACATTGCTCTGGCAACTGAAGGAACCAAAGGAAGGTCAGGGTGAGTGGAGGGAGCAAATCCCCTGCTGGCCATTGTTCTGCTCAGTAAGTTAGGAAGGAACAGACTTGGACAGAAAAACTACCTCCATACCTTTCAGACCTCCCCATTTGCCTCCTTCCTCCCCAAGAGGGGACTCACCGGGCCAGTGTGGAGGCGGAATCCAGCCAGCATAGTTCCTGTGATAGGATTGAAAGAGCCACCAAGAATAGGGGGCTTCTCAATGAGGGAGCGGAGGCTGCTGTTATCATGGGAACCTGGCAGATCAATCATTCCGGGTAGGTCAGGCAGGAAGTTACTCAGCTTCTCTTTCACTTTCTTCCCACAGAATTTATTATAGGCATGTTCCAGGTTGTAGTGTGTGATCAGGTTGGTGCTGCCTGTCAGCTCCGTACTGCCTAATGAACGCAGGGGAAATAATAAAATGTATTTAAGTCAGCCACATAATATTTATACTTACATTTATATAATACTTTATACTTTTCAGTATATGTTCATTTGAACTGGAAAAAAAAAATTCAATGTATTTAAGATATCACATTCCATTGATAAGAGACAGCCCTGGCCAAATAGTTAAATTGGTTGGATTGTCATCATCATATACCAAGGTTGTGGGTTCGATTTCTGGTCAGGACACATAATAAGAATCAACCAATGAATACATATAAAAGTGGAACAGCAAATTGGTGTTTCTCCCTCCCCAACTCTCAACCTATCTAATAAAAGAGTATTATGCAAGTTAACCAGCACTCCAATACACAAGATAGCTGTCCCCAAGTGGATACAAGATGGCCAGCAGGGGAGGGATTTGGGAGGGACCAAGCCTGCAAGGGAGGGCAGTTGGGAACGATCAAGCCTACAGAGGAGGGCAGTTAGGGGTGACCAGGCTGGCAGAGGAGGGAAGTTGGGGGTGACCAGGCCTGCAGGGAAGGGCAGTTAGGGGGGATCCAGGCCTGCAGGGGAGGGCAGTTGGGGGTGGCCAGGCCTGCAGGGGAGAGCAGTTAGGGACAACTAGGCTGGCATCAATCAGGCTGGCATCAATCAGGCTGGCAGGGGAGTGGTTAGGGGGTGATCAGGCTGGCAGGCAGAAGTGGTTAGGGGCAATCAGGCAGGCAAGTGAGCAGATGGGAGCCAGCAGTCCTGGATCGTGAGAGGGATCCCAGATTGGAAAGGGTGCAGGCTGGGCTGAGAGAGACTCCCCTCATCCCCTGTGCACCAATTTCGTGCACTGAGCCTCTAGTCAATAAAAATAAAAAAACACTGTTAATGGTAGGAGATAGTGCCAGAGTACCTCTCCTCATAACTTGGCATTGCCTTTGACCATTATAATATTCTGATTTAAAATATATATTTTATTGTTTTTTTTACAGAGAGAAAGAGAGAATAGAGTTAGAAACATCGATGAGAGAGAATCATTGATCAGCTGCCTCTTGCACACCCCCTACTGGGGATGTGTCTGCAACAAAGGTACATGCCCTTGACCAGAATTGAACCTGGGACCTTTTAGTCCGCAGGCCAACACTCTATCCACTGAGCCAAACCGGTTTTGGCTATAGTATTCTGATTTTATCACCCCCTCTTTGTTGGCTCTCCTCCTTACAGGTGAGAACACACTGCCTTTTCTGAACTTTAAGAGTCATTCCAACTTTGTCAGTTCTATGAACATGATTTAGAATCTCTCTTCCCAGCCCTAACTCTTCTCCTGTAAACTAATCTTGCATTTCCAATCTCCTCTTAGTCCAGGAGTGGGGAACCTTTTTTCTGCCAAGGGCCTTTTAGATATTTATAACACCATTCGAGGATCATAAAAAATTATCAACTTAAAAATTAGCCTGTTATATTTAATCAAACATTTAGTTAACTCACCCCTCATGACTTGTCAGAGCTAGACCAAATGATTTTTTGGACCTTAAATGGCCCATGGGCCAGATGTTCCTCACATCTGTGACTTAGCCAATTCTATGTAGATAGTATGGCTTTTATTTATTGATTGATTTTAGAGAGAGAAAGGAGGGGGATGAGACAGAGAGAGACAGAGAAAGATACTTGTTGTTCTACTTATTTGTGTATCCACTAGTGGCCCAGTGCATACAATTCATGCCCCAAGGGGGTGGGGGTTCCCTCACCCCAACTTGCACCCTCTCCAATCGGACATCCCTCTCACAATCTGGACTGCTGGCTCCTAACCGTTCACCTGCCTGATCAGCCTTAACTGCCTTTGCCTGCCTGCCTGCCTGATTGCCCCTAAGTGCCCTCCCCTGCCGGCCTGATCTTGCCCCCAACTGGCCTCTCCTGCTGGCCTGATCTCACCCCCACCTGCTCTCCCCTACCGGCCTGATTGCTCCTAACTGCCTCTGCCTGCCTGACAGACTGCAACTTCCCTCCTCAACTGGCCTGATCTCACCCCCAACTGCCCTCCTCTGCCTGCAAATTTGGTTTTGACTGGTCGATTTCTATGCCAGTCAGTGCCACAAGCTCTGCCTCCTAGGCAGTCATTGGCTCCTCACAGTTCACCCACATTTGGTTCTGGTTGGTTTCTATGCCAGTCAGTGTCTCTGGGCCTATCTCCAGGCCTGATCAGAGAGCCGGGGCTGATCAGCAGCCCCTGTGGAGGCCTGGAAAGAAAGAGGTGCAGCTGCTAGCAAAGCCCAAAGAGAAAGAAAGCAAGTGGCTGATCAACAGCTGCCACAGAGGCTGCAGATCAGACCCTGCCTCTCTCTTCGGGCCTGATCTGCAGCCTCCTGGGTAGTCAATGCTGGGTCGCCTCAGCAACTTAGCCCTGACTGCAGACTGACTTCCGGCGTTTGGTGGAGCCTTTGTTCGGCTGTTGCAGACATTTTTATATATTAGGTTTGGTTGATTTTTGTATGTGCCCTGACCAAGGATTGAACCTTGGCATACGAGGATAATGTGCTGACAAACTATACATGGTACCTCCCATTCTCTAGATATTTTTAGAAGCAGTACCCCTGAGTTTTAAAAAATCTTCAATGATTTCCTATAACCCTCAGAAAAGACCTAAAAATTCCATTGGCACTCATGGTTAAACACTGTATTATAACTTAGCTTTGGGACCTAGTCGACCATTAGTCCCCTATGCAAAATTTCTGACCCATCCAGATGGTCTCCATCATTTCCTGAGAAAAACAAAAAACACCCCTCATTGTGTTTCCTTTTAGGAAAACTGACCTAATTATAGGAAAAGTCTGCCTAATATTCTTCAATAATATAAATTCATCAAGGTCTAGCTCAAGTGACAACTTATTCTTGCTCTCATTTTGGATATTTTCTTTTCTTTCTTTTTTTTTTTTTTTTTAATATATTTTATTGATTTTGTACAGAGAGGAAGGGAGAGAGATAGAGAGTCAGAAACATCGATGAGAGAGAATCATTGATCAGCTGCCTCTTGCACATCCCCTACTGGGGACATGCCCGCAACCAAGGTACATGCCCCTGACCGGAATCGAACCCAGGACCCTTCAGTCCCCAAGCCGATGCTCTATCCATTGAGCCAAACCGGTTTCGGCTCATTTTGGATATTTTCAAAACCACTACATAGTTATGTGAGGCATGACCACCAAATAATGAGATTGGCCTTGACAAGAAATATGGTCACTATCCTTAAACTACATATTTTGCATCCCTAAGTAAAAGAAGCTTCTTACAAGGACCAGACTTATTAATCTTGTTCCTCTTCTCACCATATGTCCTCCCCTCTACTTCCTATACACACAACATTTGCCCAAAACATATATTCAATATCTGTCAACTGATAGGTAAAATCAGAGTAGGTAAAGTCAGTGGAAGACATCAACCAACAACTAACCAAAGGAAAGTTCTATGCTTCAACCTCTCTATGCTTCAGTTTTTTTTTTTCAACTATAAAATGCAGATAACAATGCCTACCTGTAACAATTGTCCTATATATTGTTACATATATAATTGCGTCGTGAACGTCAAATTACTGTACCAATACCCAGTATTATTTCCCTCCACTCTTGATGGGATGAACTAAAAGCAGAACTTGGGATGATCTAAAAGCCATTATGGAGCCTTAATATGTCCAAAATGGCTCTTGATTTCCATCTCCTCAAACTTGTTACACAGACGCCTTTCAATTTAGAGCTCCTGGGTTCTGGTACCAGTTGCCCAGGTTACCTTGCACCTCCGCTAGCCGGCTAAGAATCACGCTCATCACCCCCTCCTTATGATCGGATTGGCTGATTTTGGCCAGGCCTGGCACTCACCTGGCAGTTCCCGCATTAGGTAGAAAGGACCGCAACCAGCTGCTGACTTGTCGGCACCAGGAGGGGCCGTGGCCGCGGTGGGGGGCGGAGCCGTGCCGGGCCCCCCACCTGGAGGAGGAGGAGGCGGGGGTGGAGGCTTTCCTGGTCCGAAGCCGAGTGCGGTTGGGGGCGGAGGTGGGTCAGCCTGAGCTCCGAACAGCGCCGTGAAATTCTCCATCTTTACTTCTGCCCCGGCGCTATCCTGCTGTCTGGCGCTAGTGCTTTTCATTGGACAATCCTTCCCCGGCGTACCGCCCTCTTCCTCCATGAGCCACTTATCATTGGATGCCTCGGAACCTGCCTCCTTTGTTCCGGCAGCTACTTCCGTCGCTTGAAGAGTACGTACCGGATACTCACCTATATCCAATAAAATGACTTAGGTGGAAAAGCGACAGCTAGATTGACCAATAAGATATCATATGCCTTTTTTTTAGGGCGTCCCTACCGTAACATCCAATCAGAAACCTGCTTTTGGCTCTGGAGGCAGTGCTTCCAAGTCTCGGCCCACTGGAAGTCTCAATGGTCGGAGAGGCGGGGCCAGGCCCAGCGACGCCCGAGAGCGGCCAGTGCCGCCTGCCGAGAAGATGGCGGTCCTGGCGCCTCTGATTGCATTGGTGTATTCGGTGCCGCGCCTTTCACGATGGCTGGCCCGACCTTACTACCTTCTTTCAGCCCTGCTCTCCGCGGCCTTCCTACTCGTGAGGAAGCTGCCCCCGCTCTGTCACACTCTCCCCACGCAGCGCGAAGACGGCAACCCGTGTGACTTTGACTGGGTGAGCGACCCCCGCCTTCCTCAGGAAGGACCCCGCGACCTTGACGGTCCCTTTCTCCGTGGTTGCATCCTGGGGACCCGAAATGCCGAGCCGGTAGCGGACTCACCATTGAAGTATAGAGCCTGGACCGTAATCGAGTCTAAATCTCTTGTTTAATGAAGATGGTCAAAAGGGTTAGCCTGCACCACAGCCATACCCAAACCCCACGTTCATGTGCACAGTCATTAACAGTGCTGCTCGTGGGTGAAGCCTCTCAAGCAGCCTTTGAGATAAGCCAGTAGAAGTGTTCCCGTTTTATTGGTGGAGAAGTTGATCTCCGCGTGATTAGGCGGCTTGTCCAAGGTCACACAAGTAGGACTTGAAACCATGCTCCTGGCCATATTTCCTACACACCATCCACTTCTTTAAAAAAAAAAAAAAAATAATTTTATTGATTTTTTTTTTTTTACAGAAAGGAAGGGAGAGGGATAAAGAGTTAGAAACATTGATGGGAGAGAAACATCCATCAGCTGCCTCCTGCACACTGGGGATGTGCCTGCAACCAAGGTAAATGCCCTTGACCGGAAACGAACCCGGGACCCCTCAGTCCACAGGCTGATGCTCTATCCACTGATCCAAACCAGTCAGGCATCGTCCACTTCTTAATACACACTATATGCTTGGAACTATGCTGCATTCGGAGGATGCAGAAATGAATAATAAAATTGTTACACCAATTGAAAGGAAATTGTAACAAATACATCCCAAGCCTCTTGCTGTATACTTTCCGAGTGGGGGTGCAGAGAGCACCCAGACAAATCAGTTGAGGAATCTCTGTGCCCTCTTCTGTAATAGCAGGATCTGTTTCTGAGGAAGGAGGGCTATCCTGAGTTTTGATCTTTTTTTCCAAAAATGAGTCTTGACCTTTACCAGAGCCCACTCTCTTACTTTTATCCTCCATCCCTTGTTTACTCTTTAATATTTCCCCCATCCTTTCCCAGACCATACTATTAATTAGCTTAAGTGTAGCCATGTTACTCCAAAAGATCCTATTTTTATCTGATATCCTGTACCACTTTCCCCAAAATGGGACTGAAAAATATAATGATATTAGTAAAGATTTTACTAAAGAGGTGGCTTAAAACTCTGACTTATAGTATCTTTAACAAAGAACAGTAAAATTATGGAGAAATGGCTAGTCAGAAGTTTTAGACTTCCAAAGGTGACTAGGAAGATAAACTAATGGTATATACAGGCTAGTATCTTATCTAATAAAAGAATAATATGCAAATTGACCATTACTCCAACACACAAGATGGCCTGCAGGGGAGGGCAGTTGTGGGCCATCAGACCAACAGGGGAGGGCAGTTGGGAGGGAACAGGCCTGCAGGGGAGGAGAGTTGGGGGTGACCAGGCTGGCAGGGGAGTGGTTAGGGGGTGATTAGGCTAGCAGGCAGAAGCGTTAGGGGCAATCAGGCAGGCAGGCAGGCAGGTAGGCAAGCAGTTGGGAGCCAGGAGTCCTGGATTGTGAGAGGGATGTCCAACTGCCTGATGGGATCAGGCCTAAATGGGCAGTTGGACATCTCTTGAGGGGTCCCAAATTAGAGAGGGTGCCGGCTGGGCTGAGGGACAACCTCCCCCCTCCCCCCTCAGGTGCATGAACTTCGTGCACTGGGCCTCTAGTATTATATAAACTCTGGTGCTGTTTTCAGGCTGATAGGGATTAAGGTTATCTCCCTTGATTAGCTGTTGCCCTTCCTGGTAGAGTGGGTTAGAAACTTTATATCTTGTTTTTCGACAAATAGGTTGGGGCTTTTTTTTTGTGGGTATTTAGTTGTTCTCAATTGCCTTCAAAAAAATCCTTCAGCCAAAGAGCCATATTTTGGGGTGTCATATTCTGCTATCATTCAGTATCCTCTCAACTTATGTGCATGTTTGAAAATGTCCATAATAAAAAAAAAAATTAAAAACAATGAGCAAACAAGCAGAACAATCAATCAAAAGGGCTCTGCTGCCCTAACCAGTTGGGCTCAGTGGATAGCATCGGTCTGCAGACTGAAGGGTCCCAGGTTCGATTCCAATCAAGGGCATGCACCTTGTTTGTGTGCACATCCCTAGTAAGGGATGTGTAGAAGGCATCTGATCAATGTTTCTCTCTCATCTATGTTTCTAACTCTATTCCTCTCCCTTCCTCTCTGTAAAAAATTCAATTAAAAATAAATGGGCGGGGGGATGGGAGGAGGGTGGGGGTGGGGAAAGAGGTCTGCTTCATATAGTTAGTCTGGAATCCAGTCTCATACTGTCTTCAGTTTATGGACTTAAGGTCATCCCAGCTTCGTCCAGACAGCAGATGAAGAGAGAGACCTAGAATGCAATGACACACCCTTTCTTACTGCCTTTGTGCAACAGTGACACATCACTTCCATTCACATTCTATTCAGGAGTGCTCGTCACACAGTTCTCCCTAGATGTAAGGAGACAGAGAGTCTAGCTGCAGTTTGTCCTGGAAGAAAAGGAAATAATCAGAGTGTACATAGCTAGTATCAGAGTATACATAGCTAGTCTTTGCTATAGAGCCAGAATATTTCTGTTAATCCTAATCGTTGCTCTCCTGATTGACCACAGTTCCCTTTTTAAATCCATCCTTCTACAATTTTAAGTCTCAATTCTAACCAATTTTTCCTTTCTTTCTTTCTTTCTTTTTTTTTTTTTTTTTTAATTCTCCTCCGAGGATATTTTTCCATTGGTTTCCAAGGAGAGTGGAAGAGAGATGGAAAGACAAATACCGATGTGAGAAAAACACATAATTGGTTGCCTCCTGCATGAACTCTAACCAGGGCCCAGGCCAGGGAGGAGCATGCAACCCAGATATTAGTGCATGCCCTTGACCAGAACTGAACCTGGGACCCTTTGGTCCGTAGGCCAAGACTCTATTGACTGAGCCAAACCAGTTAGGGCTTTTTTTTTTTAAGTTGATTTCAGACAGGAAAAGAGAGAGAACCATCAGTGACACTGAAAAGGGCCTTTAGGAGCTCTGAAATGCCTCCTTCAGCTTTCGGATTATATTAAAGGTGCATGATTATTACTGTGAATATTAGATAAAGAGGAGTAATTTAACTTAAGCAAAACCAAATAAAGTAAATAACTATATATTGTATGAATGTAATATTACAAGAAAGTCTCCCCGGAAAAGTTTCATTTTCCCAGGATCAGAGAATTGGTTGTAATTTCTCACATTTTATTCCATGTTATACTTTATACAACTGTTTTAATCTTTACAATAGCATTTTGAGGTAGATGTTATTCAACGGAGGAAACCAAAGCTCAGCAGTTGATGCGCTGAAAGGCACCGGTCAGGTTGCGGCAGGGTTAGAACTTGAACCTAGATCTTCTGACTGGTGTTTTTCCCACTACGCCTTCGCGTAGTTATTTATTGTTATCGTTCCCTCTTTGGATCTCTGTTGGGTTTTGTTCCATATTGGCTCCTTTACCCACCCAAATTACCTCTGCTGATGGCATTTCTGCCACTTTGATTCTGTTGCAGAGAGAAATAGAGATCCTGATGTTTCTCAGTGCCATCGTGATGATGAAGAACCGCAGGTCCAGTAAGTTTAGCCTGTTTCTCTGTCTCCCAAGCCCTTCGGAGCTGTTTTCACTCGTGTTATGAGAGAGCATTATTTACTGTACCAGTCCCTCGTTCCATGCCAACGCTGGATTTGATCTTGGACTTTTCTCCCTTTCCCCCTCTCCCATTTCAAAGTATTTCAGGAAGAGGGACAAAGAATGGGATATAGGAGCTTGCCGCCTAGCCTCACCCGTGACATCTTTGTGTTTCAGTCACTGTGGAGCAACATATAGGCAACATCTTCATGTTCAGTAAAGTGGCCAATGCAATTCTTTTCTTCCGCCTGGATATTCGCATGGGCCTGCTTTACATCACACTCTGCATAGGTAAGGAGACTCCAAGACTTGGTTGGAACCCAGTTCAAACCAGTTTCTCCATAGTCTTCTTCATTATCTGTTCCTAATTACATGTCTAGCTCAGACGGTGTGAATCTACAGAGACTTTATTTTAAGAGGAAGGGAATATCAGCCCATAAAGTGTGTTCTTTGGTGCTTGACGTCTTTGATTTGGTTTGAAAGGAAATCCTTGCCCTAGGCCTTATCTGTTTCCTTCAACATATATATTCTTTGTGTGTTTAGTGTTCCTGATGACATGCAAGCCTCCCCTATACATGGGCCCTGAGTACATCAAGTACTTCAATGATAAAACCATTGATGTGAGTGATCATCCTCCCTCCCATTTCTTGGGTCTATTGTGGGTAATTTTGTAGTTGTGCACCTTACTCACTAGGAGGAGCAACTGTGCTTCAGAATGGAAGTCAAGGATTTTTGGTTCATCATAGGAGCTAAGGGAGGCAGAGAGGGGAAGCCCTGATGAGGAATTAAGATGCTAAGCTTGAACCTTTCCAGGGGCCCGTGTGATCCAGCTCACTGTTTCTTCCCTGTGTGTGGCAGGAAGAGCTGGAGCGGGACAAGAGGGTCACTTGGATTGTGGAGTTCTTTGCCAATTGGTCTAATGACTGCCAATCGTTTGCTCCAATCTACGCTGACCTCTCCCTCAAGTGAGTGGTGCAGAGTGGGGGGATCATGGGAATTGAGAGGCTGTACTTTCCCTCTCACTGATTTTTGTACATTGCAATCAAAGGCATCTCCCGCAATAGCTGTATTTCTACTTCCCCCAATCCATTCTTCTCACACTATGTTAAATAATATATCCTTCCCAGGTACAACTGTACAGGGCTCAATTTTGGGAAGGTGGATGTTGGACGCTACACTGATGTTAGTAAACGGTATGTAAGGGCCTGAGTGGAGGGTGTAAACAGGGAATCACTTTGAGTGACATATACAGATTCGGTTACAGAGCACTTTCTGGGCCCTGTAGGTACAAAGTGAGCACATCCCCCCTCACCAAGCAGCTTCCTACCCTGATCCTGTTCCAAGGTGGCAAGGAAGTCATGCGGCGGCCACAGATCGATAAGAAAGGACGAGCTGTCTCCTGGACTTTCTCTGAGGTACAGGGAAGAGTGGACAAGTGGTTTAGAGAAGCATATGGGACAGTAGGTGGTCTTTGAAGCCCAACCTGGGTTTGATTCCTCGCTCTACCACTTAACACACAATGTGCATTAGTTATTAGATCTTATTCATGAATTCACTCAGCAAATTCATATTATACTTCTCCTGTTAGTACTGGGGAATTATTAGTTAACATTCAGTCTTACAGGACCTCTATCTATAGTCTGTAGCCCCTAGGTTTCTTAGCAGTAAATTGGAGATAGTAATACCTAACTCATAGTGGGGTTTTTTTTTTTAGAAGATAGAGGCATTTTAAAAAATATATATTTTATTGATTTTTTACAGAGTGGGAGAGGGGAGAGGGATAGAAAGTTAGAGACATCGATGAGAAAGAAACATTGACCAGCTGCCTCCTGCACACACCCTGCTCGGGCTGTGCCCGCAACTAATGTACACGCCCTTGACCGGAATGGAACCTGGAACCTTTTCAGTCTGCAGGCTGACACTCTATCCACTGAGCCAGACCGGTTTCAGCTCATAGTGTTGTTTTGCAGATTACATTATGATGTAGTTATAATTCTTGGTATAGCACATAATAGGTGCTTAAGTATTAGTTGACTTTTAGGTACCTGTAAAAGAGATTTAGGTTAGAGTAGATTTTCTGTGCTTTGCTTCCTCTTTTCCTAAATTGTGCCTAAATACTTATTTTCCAAACTCTGAACTCTCCTCCCCAACCTTGACCTTTGCATCTCCTTTGTGCAGGAGAATGTGATCCGAGAATTCAGCTTGAATGAACTGTATCAGAGGGCCAAGAAGCAATGGAAGACTGGAGATAATACTCCAGAGGAGCAGCCTGTAGCCTCAACCTCCACAGCAGTACCAGATGGGGAAAGCAAGAAGGACAAATAGGTTTCCTGCCTTGTTAGTGCTTCCTTCTGGTCAATCCTAGGCACCTTTGAAGCCCTGCCCCTTCTACAACCACAGCCTTGCCTGAGTGAGGCTTCGCCTTTTATTTATGCTTTCCCTGTTTGGCTGTGCCCGGGTGGTGCAGGGTGCTGCTTCTGATTTTAAAGAGGCATCCAGGGAATTGACAGGCACACTCCCATGGCCAGCTATTTCACTGGAGGAAGGGAGAGGTCTCACATAATGGAAGAGGAAGTGCTTTCTCGCCAAGCTTGGAGTGCTGCCCTCCACTCACAACATCTTGTTGTTTTTCAGTATTCCTTACTGGACTTACTTTTACAGTAGGTTGAACCCTAACATAAGATGCCGGGGTACAGAGTCTGCACTAAAAATTTTTCCTGAAGGACCCTTACTTCTTTAAGCCCCCTGGCTTGGTCTTTGGCCTTCATTAAAAATAAACCTAATTTTGTTACTCGTCCCAAGGACAAACCTTTAACCACAATATGGAGGTTGGGAGGAAGGGGAATAGAAGTCGAAGGCCTTCCTTTGTCGGGTGGAGCCTGGAAGAGAGCCCTAGGGCAGGATTGGGGTTTCCCTTACCTTCCTACCTACTCTCCCACACCCAGTTGATGGTTTTCCATAATAAAAGACACTGGGATTTCCTTTTGTTTGCGCCTCTCTGTATTAAAAAGCCTGGCTACTGCAAAGGAATTGCTTAATTTCTTAGTAACTTCAAAGTTTTACCAAATGTCATTATTAGTTTTACCAAATGTCAGTTATTGGTACCCAGGATTGGGGGGAGTTGTGGACGAATTTTTAATCCAGAGTTAGGCCGAGACCGGTTTGGCTCAATGGATAGAGCGTCAGCTAGGGGACTGAAGGGTCCCGGGTTCGATTCCGGTCAAGGGCATGTACCTTGGTTGCGGGCATATCCCCAGTAGGGGGTGTGCAAGAGGCAGCTGATCGATGATTTTCTCACATCGATGTTCTAACTATCCCTCTCTCCCTTCCTCTCTGTAAAAAAATCAATAAAATATATTTAAAAAAAAAATCCAGAGTTGGGGTCGCACCCCGTTAAGATTGTAGACTAGCCTCGGGATAGGTCCCAGGGAAGAAGTTTTAATTGCGGGGTGGGGGAGTGTCCGAGTTCATTATGACTATTTAGCCGCTCGTGCAGTTGCTGTTAAAGAAAAACTTGCAACAGGACTGATTTTAGAGCTACCTAGTCCCTGTCTCTGCCCCTGCGGTGCCTCATGAATTCACTAAGCAAATTTCTATGAGGCGCAGGTGGTTGGGCCTGGTGCTCCCCCGGCCTGGCGTGCAGAGTGGGTGTGCCCGGAGGTCCCGCCCCGGACCGCGTGCGCCGCGCTTCCCGCTGCGGGGGAGACGTTTTGTTCTGGGCGCGGAGCTTTGGGCCTGCGGTTTGGAGCTTGCTCAGGGGCTGCCCGCTGCTCCGTGGCCGCGTCTCCACCCTGTTCCCGGGCCAGGATCCATGGCTTCCCGCGGGAGGAAGCGGAAGGCCGAGGCGGCGGCGGGCTCGGCCGCGGAGAAGCAGGAGAAGCTGGCTGACGGCCAGAAGGAGGTGGAGGAGGCGACGGTCGTCATCGAGCATTGGTGAGGGCCCCGGGGAGGCGCGGAGAAGGGGGGTGAGGGCGGCGCTCACCCGGAGCCCTGATCTCTGACCCTCCTCGTCTCCTAGCACGAGCTGACGCGTGTACGGGCGCAACGCCGCGGCCCTGAGCCAGGCGCTGCGCCTGGAGGCCTCGGAACTCCCGGTGCAGGTGAACCCCGCCAAGCCCCGCAGGGGCAGCTTCGAGGTGACGCTGCTGCGCCCGGACGGCAGCAGTGAGTGGGGACCCGGGGCTGGAGGAGGGGAAGGGTCGGCCTCACAGGGGAGGTGGTAACGCCGCTTCTTCCTGTCCTTCCCCAGGTGTGGAGCTCTGGACTGGGATTAAGAAGGGGCCCCCACGCAAGCTCAAGTTCCCCGAAGCGCAGGAGGTCGTAGAGAAGCTGAAGAAGTACCTTTCGTAGGGAGGCCTGGGCCGACATCCTCACGCTGAGGTTTGAAATGGGGGCGACGGTCGAGGGAGGGATGGGTTGATCTTGGTGTGGATATTTTCGAAGCAACTGTTACCTCGAATTTCATAGAGGAGCTACCATACACAAACACACACCCCACCCCACCCCCTTAACTGTTCTCAGTATTTCCTCTGTTGGGAATACCTCTTTCCCTTTACATTGGTAGGAAAAACTGCAATCAGCATTTCTGTTTTTTTACTGTGTTCTATCTAGTGTGCCCTTTATTACTTCCAGGTTTTATTTCATAATCTAAGTTCTAAGACTTGGCTCAAAGACAAATGTAAATGATTTGTAGAAATGCAATTTATGTCCTTTGAAGGTACAGTTTATTGTCCTGAGGGTATGGGCCGGTTTTGTAAAATATCTCATTTTCCACACCCCTGGTGGTGAGTGTTTTGAATCTTTTAAGTGGTTTGTAAATCCTACCAGTACCCTCACTTATGAGTTAAAATCACTGACATGTGTTTATTTGTATAGGTTGTGATTTCCCCTTTTATTGGCAAAACCTTTGTGTAACTTCATGCATACTTACCCAACCCTCTTGTGTTATTTGTTCCTATAGGGTCTTTCTATTAATAGTCCCATATGGTAACAGTTCATTACTTAATGAACTTAAATTTGTAACTTAAATTTGTCGTTTTCATATCTAGTGGTTATACAGTGCTTTCACATGTCATAGGTATGTGCCTCATAACCTTGAGATGTGGGAGGAGGATGCAATCTTGAGCTCTCCTGAGCCTTTGGGTTCAAGGATGGAGGAACACGCCTTCCTCCGGCTATATGATTGCCTAGATCAGTGGTTGGCAAACTGCAAGTTGAGAGCCGCCGCTTACTGCTCTGTTGACTGAGTTTGCCGACCACTTTGTAAGGCATTACCCTTACCCAGAAGTTTTGACTTCGGGTTAAAGACATTAGTACATTATTGAAATGTTTTTTAAGTGTTTTTCCTTAAGGCAGTGGTCGGCAAACTCATTAGTCTACAAAGCAGCAAACCGATGCTCACAAGCCACAGTTTGCCGACCACTGGGTGCTAGATCTCTACTAACATTTTTCTTCCTCTTGTTTTCACAGCTTTCTGTTTCTGGTAATGTTGGAGCATTTATGACGGGACATGGCCAAACTTCAGTTATGTGCCTGAAGCTATAGTTTCTTCTCCAGAATTGATGGTTCAGTTGTGAGGCAACACTCTAGTAAGGCATTGAAAAGTTCTTGGATTTGGTTTAATAAAAGTTGAAATAAAGTACTTGACTAATAAAGTAAAACTTAATTATATGGTAAGGGATAAAAGCCAGCCTTATGGGATTGTGGTCCCCTTTGTGTGTTTCATAAACAAGTCCCACATATAAGGTGCTGGACGACGTCCTCTCACTCCCATACACTGTGTTCCACTCCAGCACCGCTTCACACCTTTTGGAACATTTTCTCTGACAGAACTACTGCAGAGGATGTACTTAATTTTTCCTGAATTCACTGTGTCTCAACCTGGGAGACCTGGCCTTCGCTGTTACCTATGAAACACTAGAGTTGGAGACCTCATAGTTTACTATTCTACTTATTTGTCACTTTAAAGTAGGTTATAAGGAACGAAGAAGGTTCAAGTTCATAATTTTCTACCCATGGTACTAAATTTCTGCCCAGCTCCCAAAACCTGGAGAGGGGAGAGCATAGGCTAAGGAGAGCAAGGGGAATGCCTGCCTCTTGTGCTAAGAGGGCAGACATGTGCTAGCCCCTCTGCCAATACCACTTTAGCTAGCCAACATTTCCCATCCTCCCAGGGCCCCTAAACTGCCTTCCCTATCCACTAGGTTAGTATATCTATCTCTGTTTCTGACTCTGAGGAAGGGTCTGGCCATACGGAGGGAATACTGGTAAGTACTAGCTTCCCCTCTGATGTCCAGTCTACCACATCAATCTCTTCCTCTTCAGGGTTGCCAGAAGGTGAGTCTAACAGCTCAGAGTTGCGAAGTACCTCCTTGCCTGGTTCTAGGGCAGGGTATAGCACCTCTTCCATAGTTACGGATACTTCCAGCCCTGTCTCTACCCAGTTAGAACAGGGAGGTAAGAGGTCCCCATAGGATCTTTGGGGAAGGTCAAGGGAGTCAATGTGGAGAAGTTTGTCCCTCTGACCATCCAGTGGCTTGGAAGTGGTAATTTCTTGGTCTTGAGTCCAAGAGTGTCCTGCAGAAAGCACCTCCCCTTCACTAATCTTAGAAGGCATGACAAGGGGACTAAAGGATTCAGTTGTCTCTTTGTTCTCACCAACAGGTTCCTTCTCTAATCCAGTTAGCTCTCTGGGCCAGAGTTCCATGTCTGGTAAATACCATTCTTCCCCTTCCATCCAGTTCTTTCCTGTTTCTGTCAAGTGATAACTAGGGGTCCTGCAGCCCTCAGCTTCGGGACTCTGCAGAGACACTGTAGGATGCTCAATGTCTGGGCCACATAGCATGAAGTCCAGGATCTCCTCCAGCTCACTGGTGGCAGCAGCACTTGTGATTCGGTACTCCTCAGCTTCGCAGGGCTGCTCTAGCAGAGCCGTGTCAAATGCATATGACTCTGTGCAGTCAATATCGAAACCGGGTTTCTTCCCTACCAGCTCTGGACTGGATCCAAACTCGGACTTCACTACTTGATGGTCTGGGGAGCGACTAGCAGAGAGCAGAATGTCTTGTAGCTTACAGGACACAGGGGAGTCCTGACACAGGTCTATTCTAGTTGATGACATTTCTAGCTGGTTAACTGAGTATGGCTGAATTCCTGGAGGCTCTTTTGAGTCTCCAGGTTCTGGGACATGAGGGCTCTCTGTAGAGGTTTTGAGGGGAGGTTCTTGTACCACCTCCCAGCAGGTCCCATTAACAGTCTTCCTAAGCTTCACTCTCCCAACCTGCCCCTCTTCTGCAGAGTCTAAGTTAGGTGCCCTGACTTCAGGG